GGCACCATCATTGCGCTCTTCCCGGGTGAGGCATCTCAGTCGCCGGCTTCTAGACGGCCGCTCACTGCAGCTGCTGGCTACATACGGTAGCCCATGGCAACCCACTGCCACAGGGGCTGCAGCCTATGCCGTCACCAGCAACTCACGGCAGCCCAGCTCCAGGTTGAGCTGTTGTTCAGCATCTTAGCTGTGGAGGGCAGTGTCACTGGCCCTCATATGTGGGATCCGAACCAGGGCCCTCTGGCATCCCAAGCCAGTTCTTAACCATCGCGCCACTCGGCCGGTCCCAGAAAGCCCCTTCTTAATCCCTTCTAGTCACCCAAGCTGAACACAGCCCTGACTCCTAACGCCATAGATTAGCCTGTTTGGGAGCTTTATATAAATGAAATTGTATGGCATATACTCTTCCATATCAGGTTTCTTTCGCTCCATATTGTCGGTGTGATTCATCCATATGGTTGCATTTGGTTGTAGAGTGTTCATTCTCATTGTTGTTAATATTCCATAGTGTGACTATACTGAAAGGTATTTATCCGCTCCTCTGTTAATAGACATTTGGGTTGTTCCCAATATTGAACTAATAAGAATAATGCTGCTCTGAATAGTCTTGTACATGTCTTTTGGTGCAGGTAGGCACACATTTCTGTGGAATTGCTGGGTCAGAAGGTATGTGGAAGTGCAGCTCTAGTGGATACTGACAAATAGTTTTCCAAAGTGATTGTGCCAAGTTACACTGGCAGCGGCAGTGGATGAGGTTTTGCTCACTTCACATCCCCACAAACAATCACTAATCTTTTTAATTTGAGAAGGTAGGTGCTTGTGAGGCAGGCTGACATCAGGTTGCCTGCATTTGAATCTCAGTTCTCTTCTTACCTTGTGACCTGCAGCAAAGCCAGTTTCCTTGTCTATAAAATGGGCTGAAAATCATGGGGCTTTTATGAAGATTCTGTAGACCAGTTAGGTTAGGCTCCATAAACATTAGCTACTTATAGCTAATTCTTACAACAACCCACTGAATCACTTCATCTCTCAGAGCCTCAGTTTCTCCTCCTGTAAAATGGTAATATCTACACACAATACTAACACCCACATACACACACAGTTAAGGAGGTTAACAACAAATGGAATTGTGTATTAAAGTGAGTTTTTTTTTCTTACTGAGATATATTCACAAAGTTGTACAACCACCACCACTATCTAGTTCCAGAACATTTTCATTACCGTAAAAGAAACCTCATACCCATTAGACCCGGCAACTACTAGTCTGCTTTCTATCTATGGATATTAATAATGCTGAATTTTTGCTTTTCTATATTTTTTAACTATTGCAAAAGTGAAATACCTTGCACTGGGACAGGCACATAATATGTACTTAACAAATATTATTTGTGTGTGTATGGATGGATAGATAGAGTACACATAGTAGATAGATATACTACAAACTCATTCAACAAATACTCATATGCACATTTGGACTTGAGAGGAAAATGGTCTGTAGGGAGAAAGACTAGATTCTTGCTTTCAGGGAATGCGCCATCTAGTGGGAAAGGGATGCATGTGCACCACTTACGATGAACGCAGAGCTGAATGAAATGAGTCGTATCCAAACAAGGGTGTGGGAACTCCGGGAAGATGTCAGAGGAGGAGATGGCACTTGTAAGATGGGCGAGCTTTCCCGACGTGGAGGGGCAGTCTGGGGGAGAAATCCTGAGGACTAAGACTGGGAGATAGGCAGAGGATGGTGTCAGGCAGCATCACCGGGACAAGCAGGTCTTCACACCCCAGTCAGGACCTCTCCTGCACCTCCACAGCCCTGAACAAGACTCGTGCGTATCAATAGGCTATAAACACTGGGCAGTAGGTGATGGAGACTAAATGGGGAAGGGAGGGAGCCAGCTCACACAAGCCTGTGCTGTCATTTGGGCAAGAGCACCCTGAACCAGCTGTGCCCATGGCCAGGTGTGCCAGGCACCCCATACCATTAACTAGTTACATTGTGGCTAGAGTCATATTTTAAATTTAATTTTTAAATATTATTTTCAGGTATACAAAATAACTAATGATAATACATTTACACCCCTCACAAAGTGATAACCGCTCCCAAATCTACTACCCCTCTGATATCATATATAACTGTTACAATGCCATTGACTATATTCCCTATGCTGTACTTTACATCCCATATATATATTTAATTATAATTGACAGTCAATATTATTTTACATTAGCTTCAGGTGTACAGCGCATTGGTCAGGCATCTACACAATCTATGAAGTGATCACCCCGATAAGTCCAGTACCCATCTGATACCCACATAATCTTTACATTATTGATTATATTCCCCATACTGTTTCACATCCCCGTGACTATTTTGTGACTACCAATTTGTACTTTCTAATCCCTTCACCTTCTCCCCCATCCCCCAACCTCCTTCCCATCTAGCAACCATCAGTTTTTTTCTCTGTATCTGGGAGTCTATTTCTGTTTTGTTTGCTTAGAGTCATTTTTAAGAGGAGAGGGCAGCAGCCTCATAGGTGAAGGACTTGAACCTCAGAGTCAGACCTGGTTCTCTTTTCTTAGCTGGGGATGTTGAGCAAGTGCTTCACCTTTCTGAGCCTGTTTCTTCACCTGTAAAATAGAGGTAATATTACTTATTGCAATAGGGTTAGAGATGATAGCTCAAAAGTGTTGGATACAATGCCTGAAACGAGGAATGCATGCTTCCTTAAATGGCCAAACAGGTAGATTGGGGAGGTTGGACAAGACAGATGACTCACACATTCAAGGCCCAGCAAGGCTGAGACATTAAAACATTTCTCTTCTTTTAGAAAAATAAATTCAGTAATTATATAATTTTAATTGAAGATGTTGTCACGGGAGAAATCAGAATTTGTGGACTTCATTGCATTTATTGTACAATTTAGTGTTTTGTTTTTAATTATACCAGGTGTGATTGTCTTTTCAGTGCTTTGGCCTCCAAAGGTGTTACCAGACCCTGAGGAGGGCAGAAATGGGGTGCAGATGCCTGTTGAGGGCCAACCGGTGGCTGGGCAGGGGGAGGGGCATGAGGTGACGGAGACAATCCACCCTACTAGGACCCAGCTCAGAAGAAAGTCTCTTGAACTGCAGGAGATTCAACTGGGAGATTTTCTCCTGGAGGCAGGAGGCCTAGGGGAGCATGGTGGGGTGAACTGGTGATGCTGACAGCAGAGACTTAGAACCAGGAGGGGTGGAAGTTGCAGGACCTTAAGAAATTACTAAATTCAACTCATTTTATAGGTGGAGAGACAGAACCTCAGTAAGACAGAGATTTGCCCAGGGTCATTCATGGAACTAGTTACAGAGCAAGAATCAATTCAGGTATCTGCTTAAGCCAGGGACCCCGAAGCTAGGAGATTCCAAGGGCCCCTGCTTCTTACCCTTAACCCCCACAGTGACCACCAGCTCCTCTTAGCATCATGCCCTTCTCCAAGCATTCCCCAAGTCCCTGAGTACCCAGTGTGGTTGTTCAGAGACCCTAGGACACAGTCCTGCTTCAGGGCCCACCAGCTAGGGGGAGAAGCCAGATAGGCACATAAGGAGTCAGTAATGACCCTGTTGTCTCTGTGCCAGGGATCCCAAAAGGGCCACTTAAGGATGGCTCTCTCTCCAGAGGAGGCAGGCCAAGGTGGGCACCCGAGGCCCCCCAGAATTTGACAGGGATTGGCAGGGAGAATGCACCTCTTGCAGGGAATAGTGAGAAATGAGTGGAGGAGAACACCTGGGGCTCCTGGGAGCATGAGGTGACTGTTTGGCAGGGACAGAGGGTACCCAGCCAAGGGACGTAAGGTGGTTAGAAGGGCCGGCCTGTGAGCAGCCTTGGGTAATCATTTCAGCACCTCAGTGGTCCCAGGGGCCCTTGGGCACTGCCATTTTATTATGGGAGCTGTGTGACTCTACTATGGAGGAAAGCACTGTGTGGGACGCTTTTCCAAGCCTCCAGCCGACCACCTCCTGCGACCACATGTAGGCCACATCCTCCGCAAAGCCAAGGGGGTTTAGTATTTGCCTTCAGCCCTCCCCTGTCCCCCACCAGGGATAGCCCTAAGTGGGAAGTCTGGAATTCTTCTAAACCAGGCTTTGTTGCTGTTCCTCTGCAGTCACTTGGCAGTTTTTCTACTCCTGTGGACTCTGGCGCCCCATTGAAATGGGGCAAGAACTCTATCTCTGAGGATTGTTAAAGGTGCCAGCAAAGTGACAGGTGTAAATGCCTCAGACCAAACAGCCTGGTTGGTGTCCTCAGGGTGAGAAAAAGGCCTGCAGAAACAGGAACATAAGCTGGACCTCAGGGTCAGTGAGAGGAGGGAACCCAGAGCTCCTGGGCAGATGGCTTGCCTGGGAGATATCCAGGGGAGGGTGACCAAGGCTCTACCTTGCTAGCCATCATCTATCACCACGGGTACTGATCCTTCTCGGATTCACACTCATGTAACCCTCTGGGGCTCTGTGCAGGTGTAATGATGACCATAATGGTAACTGGGAATGCTGAGACCTACCTGTGGGCCAGGTCACACAAAATTTCTGAGGTGGGTGCTTCCAGCTGTATAGAGGACCGAGAGGGGGGTGAATGTGCGCCGGACGATCAGAGAGGGCAGTGAGGTAGTAGTTAAGTGAGGGGCTTCACTAGAGGGCGCGCTTGGAAGCAGGAACCCCAGGCACTGAGGTGCTTTCAGGCTCAGGTGTGAATGTGACTGATGATGGAATATTCCTGAGACCCCTTTTGGAAAAAGTAGGAGCGGTTCCATCAGGACTCTAAGTGGTCACAACAGAAGGAAAGGCGGGAGGGGAGATACCGGCCTCCAGTAGACTGGATGTGGCTCCACGCGCTCCTACCTGGCGTATCGATTATGCTAATTTTAGCCCCACCCCGTCCATTCTCTTGCTTGCCTAGGCCCCGCCCCCTCGAGCGGCCTACTGGGACAGAGGGGCGGGACGATGCTAATAAGGTCGGAATAGCCACCCGAGCCGCGGCGGCTCCAAGCCTAGGCGAGGCGGGGTGGCGATGGCCATGGCCGGGACGCTGGCAGGTCTGGTCGCAGGCTTACAGGGCTCGCATGTCGTCCCCAGCCCGGACTCAGACTCAGACACAGACTCGGAGGACCCCAGTACTCGCCGCAGCACCGGCGGGTTGCTCTGCTCGCAGGTCATCCACAGCGGTCACTTTATGGTGTCATCGCCGCACAACGATTCGCTGACCAGGCGGAGCGACCAGGAGGGGCTAGTGGGTCTCGTCAACTTCGGGCTGCGCAGCATCGACCCCACACTCACCCGCCTCTTCGAGTGCATGAGCCTGGCCTACAGGTGAGCGCGGCTCCGGGGCCCGACGGTCTCGGCGCTCCATGCCGGGACCGCGCGCTTGGGCCCCGACATCCCACCCGGCCCTTAGCCTTGGTCCCCGGCTGCTCTCGTAGACTATGGCCGCATCCTGGATACCCGCGTCCCCTGTCGCAAGCGTCCTCTGACCCTAGCCCAGACTACTGGCCCCCAACGGGCCTGCACATCTCCTGGTTCCCATTCTGAGGACCATCACTCTCTCCCTTGGGCGCGGACCGCCTGCCCTCCACCTTTACCTCCCGTGGCCCACCATGGGCCCGCTCCCAGTCCCCACTCCTCTGCCCTCAAAGAAATGCCAAGACCCTAGGCCATGCTGCCATCCCAACTTCCACTCAGGGGCCACTCCACCCAATCACCTGAAGGCGTCTGCTCCCTCCCCAGCAGCCCTGGCACACCCACTCAATTTCTGCACCCTTTCGATACTCCTCGTGCCCAAGGTTGTCCCAATTTGTAGCCAGTCGATTGAAACCCATTCTTTCGTCCACCCTGCACCTCCCAGTTGCCGGGACACCTGATCTTGACCTACGAGGTCGAGGGTGGTGTGAGAGGAGGGTGCCCCGGGCGGACCCAGGGGGGCGCGGCTCACAGAGTTTCCCAGCTCTGGTCAGGCAAGGGGTGCTGCAGGCCGTGAGGGGCTGGTTCCCGGGAGCCGTGGGCTCGCCTACCCCAGTCACCGCACGAGGCTGAGCGCCAAACGCTGCCTGAGACCCCTACTTAGCGAGTCGCAGAGCTCCTGCTCCACTCCTGCTTCCTTGGGGAGGGCGCGAACCTGGATCCTGGCCCAGTGCCCTGGAGCAAAGTTCCCCAGAGCAGAAGGGCCTAGATAAATTATCAACCGAAAACCCGTAGGGGAGAAAGACGGATAAGCAGTCCTTGATCTTTTCTCTGCAAATATTCCTTTTCTTCCGCCGCGCTCCTCCCCTAAGAGAACTGTTGGCCACTGATCGGCACTTGCTGCTCTGACCCGGAGCCCGGAGCTGGGGTAGGGATTGCGTGGGAGTGTTGCCCACCCCCAACCATGGCTGCCCAGCCGCGACCCCATTGGCTGGAAGCAATGTAACCTTGGCCCTCAAGCTCTGGCCCCGGGCCCAGGTCATGTTGCAACCGGATCGTCCCAGGCACCAGACCAATGTAGAAAGTTCAGATTCCCATCCCCTTCCCTCCTCCCCCCACTCGGACATAACAGACCGCCTAAGCAGGGCATCTAAGGTCCTGGGTACACTGGGTGCAGGCACCCCTCCTCCCTAGAGTCCGTTTCCCACCCACTTCCAACTTCAGCTTTCTAGTTTATACTACACGCCTCTCTACCTGGGCTGGCTAATGCCTACCTGGCATCCCAGACCGTGGGTGACCAAAAGGGGAGGTTCAGGGAAGGTGGCAAGGTAGAGTACAGAACACATGCCAAGAACTGCCCCCACTAAGAGGCTGACTAGAAGCTAGTGCAACCCCAATCAGGGGCAGCTAGGGTGGAAAGGGCTGTGCTTTCTCCTAAACATCTAGAATATTCGCTCGCTCTGGCCTGCCCTGGTTGGCCTAAGAGCCAGGGATGGAGGTGGCTCATACCAGAGGAGCCTTTGGGTTACCCCATTTGGAAGAGGAAAAAACTGAGGCTCAGACTGGAACAGTGTTTTAGTCCTTAAAGGCTCCTAATTATCGGGGTTCCCTGGAGGGGAGAGGATTGCTGAAGCCAGGGTGTTCCAAAGGAGTGAGTGGATGGGAAGGGACAGCAAGACAAGGAGTCCAGAGGAGCTGGGAAGAACTGGCCAGCTTGACCTGGAGGACCACCTGCGGACACCTGGCCATCTTGCACCCTCAGAAGGGCAGTGTGGGCAGAAAAAGGACTGCTCTTCTAGGCGGATCCCCATGTTCCATGCTTCTGTGGGTGGAAGCCCCAGGGAGGCAGGTTCTGGAAGTTCTAAGGCCACACTTGCTCATAGTCAGAGCTGGCCGGAGCGATTATCAAAGCTATGGAAAGAATGGCCTCAGGGAAGTTAGGGGGCAAGCCGGACCCTGTCAGGGAGCCTCTAAAGGAATTGCTGCAATGTAGAGATTATACACATGGGGGAAGGGAGCTGAACTAAGAGTTCTGAGTTTCCCCCATCCCAACCCCGAGATTCCTAGATTTTCTGTGGTTATAAGAAGTCTTTGAACCCTGGCCCCAGGCTTTTTGTTCCAGGTTGGGCCCCTCTCCTCTCAGAGGGACAGGTCCAGCACAGAGCTTTCCTTCTGAGCTTAGATTTTATCACTGTCTCATCTCCCCCAGCCCTACCTGCCCACAAACACTATAATCTCTGGAAGAGGAAGGGCAGGCAGGCTGGGGGTAGGGCACTGGGTGATCAGAGTGGGCTGGGAGGTTGCTGGGATACAGGCAGGGGCAGTAAACTCAGGAGCCCCCCACTCCCCCCTGCCCAAGGTTCCACAAAAGAAGCTGGCCCAGGAGCCCCTGCATGTCTCCAGACAGATGGTGTTTATCTAACTTAGGAGGGAGGGGGCCAGCCAGAGGGCCTGGACTCTTGGGCTATGTACTCTATTTGGGTAATGAGGCCTGTTGTGCCCTGTGTGGCAGTTCTCCCCTCTCCCCACTCCAAGCAAACATAGGAGCTTGGAAACCAGAAAGGAGAGGGGACCCAGTGACCCATGCACCCAAGGGGCTGTAGGAGTAAGACTCCCACCCACCTACCCCTCACCCCCAGGATGAGGGAGAGGACCCTGGAGAGAGTGGGCCTGGTGCTCTGTGCTCTGAAAGACTAACCCTGGAGGCCTCAGTTTTCCGTGTGAGTAATGGTTAGAGAAGGTGAGCCAGAGGGGACCTGTGTACAACCCTGGCTTGTGGACTATGAGGATGGAGGGATAAGCAGGGGTCTAAGACCGTGAACATCTTGACCTCCTAGGTCAACTCCCTGGAGGTGGCAGACTCAATCTGTGCCTAGCAGGACCCTGAGAGTCAATCCCCTCACCTTTGTAGAGCCCTTCTGTCTCATGGATTTGATTGACTGCTAGGGTTAGGGTCAGGGCGCTATCTCCGCACTGCTCACCACTCCACTCCCTTTGCGTCCTAATGGTACTGTCTTGGGCACACCCCTGAGAAGGGGCACACCTTCCAGCTCAGTCCAGATTGCCATCCTAGGATTCTAGGCTGGGCAGACACCTAAAGGGCAATGAGAAAGCAGCAGCTGGCTTCTTGGAGGCCACCTCTGGTGATGAGACTCCCTCTCTACCCAGACAAACCTTACCCATATCATGGACCTACGGGGAACAGCAAGACTGGTGGAGAAAAAGCCACAGGGCCTGAGTGAGTCTCTGCCATGTGACTTTGGGCATGTCCCTTTCTCTTCCTGACCTTCTGTTTCCTTCAGTAAGAAATGCATCTGAGAATCCACCCTAGCTGGCCTATAAGACAGATGCCTGTAAGGCCACTAGGTGTTGTTGTCATGAGGACTGAGCTGATTAACAGCTTCCAGTCCTGGCTTAGTTCTGGTAGTAGATTAACAACCAAGTCTCACCAAAGAACACAAGGGCCCCTAGTGGGGACCTGGGAGGGTATTTTAAAAGCCTAACTCTCAGGGTAGGAATTTGAGGCAGGTTAGAGTGAGGGCCAGGATTTGGGAGGGTTCCTCAAATTGCCTAGAGATGAGTGACTGGTACATGGAAAGAGCGTGGAACCAACCCCTGCAGAAGCCCCCTCCAATCTTCCCCTTTTTCCATCACCCTGGTGACCCAGTCCCCTCCCTCTGACAGTGGAAAGCTGGTGTCTCCCAAGTGGAAGAATTTCAAAGGCCTCAAGCTGCTCTGCCGAGACAAGATCCGCCTCAACAATGCCATCTGGAGGGCCTGGTATATCCAGTGTGAGTGGGCGCCATGGGCCTTCCCAGCAGGAGGGCTGTACCTGGGGGGCTGTGCAGGAATCCCCCAGCTGGCACCAGGAGAGTGCTTTGGGGGAGACCAGGCCCCCAGCACCATCACCCCTGAACAGCTTCTGACCCCCAGAGAGTCTTGGGGAATGTGTCCCTAAGGGTACTTTCCACTGTGAAGTTGGGTAACGCCCCTTGGAAGTCCTAAGGTGGGCTGCGATTCGGGGAACAGTTCAAGGCCCATTCTGCATCCCATGAGTATAGTCAGGTGCCTCAAACGCCTGGGTAGAGAGAGGTATTAGACATTATCTGGGCCAATTCTGTTACTTTGCAAACGGGGAAGGTGAGGATCCTGCATGGGTCTCCACCAGCCTTTCATTGAAGTCCGTACTGAACCTCCAACTAGTGCCCCCCGTGGAGATTTGGGGGAAAGAGCCCAGAGAGTCCATGCGGTAGAGTGGAAGGGACTCTAGACTTGGAGTCACCCAGAGCTGGTTTCCCACCCTGTCTTTGCTCCTTGATGGCTGTGTGACTGCAGGCAAGTTGTCTAACCTCTCTGAATCTATTTCTTCATCTATAAAATGAGGCCAATAGTCCTATCTTTCATGGTTGGTATGGGGATAACAGGTATGAACAGGCCTGGCTCAAAGTGCTCAATAAATGATGGTTGAATCTGATGTACCCTTGACACAGTCAGGGTCATTCATTTGGGGATACAAGACCACCCACCACCACCAGTGGCAGGGCAGCAGAGACTGAGAGGCCTCCGACTAGTTGACCCTGTGTTGAGACCTTGTCCAGCTCAGTTAGGTCCTGCTACAGGATCAAAGGCTATGCTGAGCTGGGAACACACAGCCCAGGATGGACTGACCACATACAATATTCTCTGTACTGGCCCCACTGTATTACATCTAAGCAGAGAGAGAGGGTGCTTTTTTTGGTTTCTATTCATCTATGTGCCCAGCACTTTCATAAATAGTCTTATTTAAGGCTTCCTAATGACCCTGGTAGATAGGTATTATTACTCCCATTTTATAGATGAGCAAGTGAGGCCCAAAAGGCAAGTGACTTATTCAGGGTCACAGAGCATCAAAGCAGCAGAGCTGTGGCTGGCTGCAAGTCCAGGGCTCTCCAACTCTGAGCCCAGTGCTCCTTCCACTACACCCTGCTAGCTGGCTTCTAGTCCTCACCTGAGAACAGACCCTGCCCAAACCGGGAAGCTGATGTGCCTGGGGAATGAGTGTCATTGTCCGTCCACCCACCCTCACCTGGCTACCTTTCCCCCCAAAACTGGCTGGGATGCAAACCCTTCTCTCTGCAGAAATTTCTGATGCCACCCGGGTTCCTCACCCAGACGGACTCTGGTGTCCAGTTATTGTACAAGTAGCTGGAAGGACCCCAGGTTCTGAGTCAGACAGAGGTGGGTTTAAGTCAAGTTTTAGTATGCCCTAGCTGTGTGACCTTGGCAAAATCCCTAGCTGTCCCTAGCCATCCCTAACCATCGCTAGCTGAAGCTTGCTCATCTGTAAGTGGCCATAATAATAGGTCCTACTGCTGAAGTCTGCTGTGAGTTTTCAGTACAATCACATGTCGACACCACGCAGACACACCTGAGGGTGATCCCTGGGATCTATCACTACTATGTGATAATAGCAACAGCATAGGCAGGCAGAGAAAAAATGTCAGAGCTCCTTCTCCCTGGGCACCCAAGGTTTGCAGGTGAGCTTCAGGAAAGGGAGAGAAGTGGTGACTGCTAGAGGGCTGCCTGGCCTACCCTCCTGACACATGCCACCCCTCTGCAGTCTCCTGAGCTCCAAGATCCCTTCTTTTCCCACACCCCAAAATCATCTCGGTTTCCTCTGAGCTCCCAGAGCAGTGTGTTCCTCTCCTGGGCAGACTCTCCACCTGGATTAGCTCATGTATATGTGTGCTTTCCTCATCCCGCCTACTAAGCTGTGAGTGCCCTGAGTCATCCATGGATTCTGTCCCAGTATCTGTCCCAGAATAGGTGCAAGGGGCTAGGTGGCTGCATGAATGGATGAACTTCTCGTTGTTAAATAAAGCCTGCCCCACCCCAGGAAGCCACGTGGCCACTGCCCTTCCATGGAGGGTGGGGGGTGGGGGGTGCTTCAGCCAGGCCTGCTCTGCCCTGACTCTCTGGGTAAACTTATTCTTTCTTGATACTCATTTCCTTTTCTGGGAAGCCAGGGGCAGATGCTCTTTGAGAGTGTCCTTGCTGTAACCCCTGGGAGTCCACACACTTGAGGGCCTCTCCCTTTGTTTTCTGTCCAAGCCACCCCCACCTCTATACACACACACACACACACACACACACACACACACACACACACACACACACACACACACACACACATACACACACACACACACCCCAATCCCATGGAGATCATTTTGAAGGATGTCCTTTAGGACAGAACTTTGTAAATGATTCTGCAGATCCCAAGAAATTTCATGTTTGGGTGGTCCCTCTCCTCTTTGTCAATTGTCCCAGAGGAAGTTTGCTGAGGGCTACAGAGGATGAGCCCCCATGGATACCTCTGAAGTCCTCTTTGTCAGGACTGCCAGAAAGTCACTGCCAGGGGGTCCCAGGGTTTTAAAGGCCAGACCTCTGGCTGAGGACTTGAACCTTCCTGCCCCTGGGCCAGGTCCCACCCCCAGGTGTCAGCCCCATCCTGTGCTTGCTCTGACCCCACCCAAACATCTGAGAGTGACAAGTTTTGGGACATCCTAGTGGAGGGTCCCTAGGAAACCAGGGAATGAGTCTGAAGCTGGAAAGGGGCAGGGTAAAAGCGGTTGGGAGGTGGACGTGGGGGCAAATGCTGAGTTATAGGAGGTGAAGATGAATTTGGGAGGTGCAAAAATGGAGGTGGCAAGTGATAACTCTTCCAGAGTTTGGGGGGAAAGCAAAGGGGTAAAGGAGGAAAGCAAAAGGGTTGTTGGGTAGCATAGGGAAGGGAAAAGTTTGGGAGGTAAAGGAGAACCTGGAGTGTGTTTATAGGCTAAAAGGACAGAGCCTGGAGAGAGATCAGGATTGGAGACAGGGAAGGGAGTAAAGGAGGTGGAAAAAGGGCTCAGGTAGGTGGCCTGAAGTGAACAAGGGGTGGTTCTCTGAGATCAGAGTGGGCAGTGCCAAGGAGTTTGAGGCTGGAGACCAAGGGCTCTGGGCCCCTGGCCTGCCAATCTGACCAGGATGTTCTTGGGGCAGCTCACCCCCTGTTACCCCCAAATCCCATTTGGCAAGAATTACCTGCGTACTTACTAGGCTGAGTTCGTTTCACAGGGTCATATAGAAGAGGGAAATCTGGTAGGGCTAAAGGAGAAAGGCAGAAGGCTTCCTGGAGGAGGTGGCACTTAATCTGAGCATCAAAAGCCAGGAAGGATTTTGTAGTGTGACACTTGAGTCCCAGTCTCCTTGGGGTGGGAGATGAGGGAGTTGGGCACCCCTGACTTAGCCCCCTTCTCTCAGATGTAGAGCGGAGGAAAAGCCCAGTATGTGGCTTCGTGACTCCCCTGCAGGGACCTGAGGCTGACGAGCACCGGAATCCTGAGGTAGCTGAGACTCAAGGGGCAACCGCCCGCCTGCCTCCGGACTAAGCCCGGCCCCTGCCGCTGGTCTCTCCCCTGGCTCGGCGGGAGGGGCCGGCCCAGATGGGGATTGAGTAAGGGGTGGGATCAGTGTTACCCCCGCACTGATCCCCCTTCCGACCCTCCCCAGGCGGTGGTCCTGGAGGGAAATTACTGGAAGCGGCGCATCGAGGTGGTGATGCGCGAGTACCACAAGTGGCGCATCTACTACAAAAAGCGGGTCAGTGGGGGCCCCGGGGGAAGCCCCACACCTTTCTTCTGAGGTTGCTGGCCACTGCATCTCTTGGAAGAGCCCTGGAGGGGCTCACTCGACCACCCTCCCTCCCCCCCGACCCCGCCCTCCATTAAGACCCAGGTTGACATCGCCACCGTGTGGCCATAGGGCCTCCTCATAGCCTCCTTACCTCTCAGGACGAAAGAGCTCCTGAAGGGAAATGGGGGATCCTGTTGATTTGGGGGATCTTGTGAGTAGGAGAGGCCTTTGTTGGCATGGGGTGATGGAGGAGGGGCAAGGAATCCAGTGTTCACCTCTGTGTGTTCCTGCAGCTTCGTAAGTCCAGCAGGGAAGGGGATCTCCTGGCCCCAAAGCAGGTGGGTGCTCTCTGAACCCAGAGAATTGACAGCTTCCTTCAGGGTGGGTGGAAGCAGTGGCGGATTGTGGGGGGTGGTGATAGTGGGTCATCAGGGGAGTGGGCGTGCTCCTTGTCCTCTGTTTGATTGAGTGAGCCCTTCTGCCCTTGGAATGCAGTAGTGGGAAGACTCTAACCCTTCTGGCTAACTAGAGCAAGTGGTGGGGAGGGATGGGAGAACAAAGGGTCCTAAAAACTTGGGGTCCCTGGCAGGAAAAAGTATGGGGGCAGGAAGGGGACCCTTATTTCCTCAGCAGGCCATCCCTGCCTATCTCCTGGGGGAAGTTGTTAGAGGCCAATGGGGTGACCCTAGCTTTCAGGCAGCAAACTGGGTCCACCAGAGAGAGGTGAGGAGGGACTGTGTGCAGAGAGGCCCTCACGCTAGCTGACCACCTCATCCCCAGGCAGGGGGTGATATGGAAGGGCCAGTGGAGCCCTCCGGTTGCTACTGACTGCTCTGTCTCCCTAGGAGGAAGGGGGATGGCAGCCACCAGAGCGATGGTGTGAGCAGCTCTTCTCCAGCGTGGTGCCTGTGCTGCTGAGGGGTCCAGAGGAGGAGCCCGGTGGGCGGCAGCTTCTGGACATGGATTGTTTTTTGTCCGACATCTCCGACACACTCTTCACCATGACTCAGCCCAGCCCCACGCCCCTGCAGCTGCTCCCTGAAGATGGTGAGGGCCTGCACCCGGGAGAGGAGGCCTTTGAGAATCCAGGCAGCCAAGGGAGGATGGCCGGGGACAGGTGCCACCACTCCACCTTGCCTGCTGCTTCTGATGTCACCACTGCCTCCTCCAGCCTACGTCAATAATGCTGACATGATCCAGCCGGAACTGGCGCCTCTGCAGCCCAGCCTGGATGACTTTATGGAAACCTCAGGTGGGCCAGGCCCCTCTCCTGGGGTAGAAGGGCAGGGTCAGTGTGAGGAGAGCCCAAGTTTGACCTCAGGCCATTTCCACACCCCTCTGGGAAGGTGGATGGTGGGGTGACTTCTGAGAGATCTCCCTGGCTTCCCTTTGTCTGGCCTTGGGATGAAGCTGGTGTGGCCTCAGGTGAGAGCAGGGCCAGACCGAGTACCTGGGCAGGAGACAGGAGACCAGGGACATTGAAGCCACAGACTCTGGGAACTCCCAGGACAGCAGTGGATGCTGGGACTCTCTCAGGGAAGAAAGGGACTGTGATTTGTTTAGGTCTATTTATTTACATAATTCATTTTAAAAACTATTTATTAAAGAACATTTGACATACATGCAAGTAGGGAGTTCAAGGAACCCTCATGTAACCATCACCGACTTCAACATTTATCAACTCTTGATCAGTCTTGTTTCATGTAGGCTTCACCCACTTCTCCCCTTCTATGTTATTTTAAAGAAAATCCCAGGAATTATATCTGGTAAAGTTTTGTGGGTTTTTAAAAAGTTTTTTATTGGGGAATAGCCATGGTCATTGGTTACACATTGCTTTCATGCTACAATGGCATAGTTGACTCTTTTAAGGAGGGTGCAGCTCACAGTAGCCCATGCAGGGATCGAACTGGCAGCCTTGGTGTTATCAGCACCACTCTAACTAACTGAGCTAACGGGTCATCCCTTTTTTTTTTTTTTTTAAATAATATGTTTCCCCGACTCCCTATCCTGACCTTCAGGGCCACCAAGCCACTGGTTTCTTGTGTACTTCCAGAGATACTAATGTCTGTATAAAATAAGCACATGTGGACTAATAATGTCTGCTTTGTTTTCAGAGTAGACTCTTCCCCACATCACTTCCTTCACTTAGCTGTAGATATTGGAGACTGCCCCTGATATTCATACATTTAGAGGACTCCAGCGCTACTCTGGGGGTCAGGTAGACACTGGGGCTCAGCCTATCTCCGCCAAGGCCTAGGGGGCAGAAAGGGGGTTCCTGGGATAAAGGCTTAGTTTCAGTGACCCCTTCACACCTTCCCTACAGGGTCCTGGGCCTGTCAGTCAAGAGGTGGAGGCCTATGGGGTGGGAACTAGGGAATGAGGAACCACCCCCACTCCTGCCTCAGCCCTGGGTGGGGGTGGGGGCTGAGGGGGCAGAAGTGTTGATGGCAGTGCCCTGGGAGCAGACCAACTTGGGAGGACAGTGGCCCTGCCTGGGCACACAGACCCCTGCCACAGGTAGGAGCTCAGCCGCCCTCACCCTGGGCTCTGGGCAAACCTGGGGCTGGGAAGTGACTTCTCTCAGCCCAGGGTGGCTGCTGGGATGGGTGGCGAAGGAATGTGGGCAACCGATGGTGGGGGCTGTCATGCAGAAGAGGTGGCTAGTGTAGCCCCCTCAAGTGCTCCGTGCACTGGGAGGGTAGGAATCACTGGGGTGCCAGGGCTGCTGCTTTGATTGTCCCAAGAGCTTCTCACTGGAGAGGAAACCCAGTGAGGGGGCTGGTGAGGAGAGGGTTCAGTGAGGAGTGAGGGGTGCTCAGGGAAGGGGAGGGAGCTTGGGAGTAGGAGAGGGGCTCAGGGAGGAGATGGTAGGTCAGTGTGGGGAACAGGCTAGGGAAGGACTCAGTGGGTGACTAGGGCTAGGAAGCAGCTCCTCTCAAGGCCGGGTGGGGGCAATCCTGCAATCTAAGGGGATGGGGTGACTCAGTGATGAGCTGGGCTCAATGCTCCATGAGGCCTGCCAAGCCCTGGGGACTTGGCAGCAGCAGTGAGCAGGGAGCTACTCACTGCTCCAGGCTTCAAGGGGCCTTGTGAGGAGACCCATGGTCCCTGGGGGCTGGAAAACAGAGAATCAGTGACTGCTCACCCTGCTACCCAGTTCCTTCATTAAAGGGAGGCAGGACAAGAAGATCCCTTCTGACCGTGTGGCCAAGAACACACACACACACACACACACACACGCACAAGGCAGACATGCACACACCGAGCACCTCACATCAGGGCAGGTGCACACAGACTCAGAGCTACAGACAGTGGGACAGACGCACAGGAAAGCAGACAGACAGATGCTGCATGAGACCACACACTGACGAGTAGCAGTGACATGTGGGCCCCAGCGTCACATAAGGGGTACACACAGGTTTTACCCCTTCAGGCTCAATGTATGGCGTGGTCTTTTCTGTCCCACTCCTGGGTCTCCTTTGAGGTGGCCCCCGGAGGAGAGCCTTGACCAGCTCTCTTGGCTGGGGGAGCCGGGGCCCATCCAGGGTGGATAGGGTTGGGTCTGACCAGACCAGGAGGCCTTGAGAGCTGGTACAGACTGAAGGCTGGTCAGGGTCAGAGAAAGGTGCCCGGAAGGGAGCGGGAGGGCGGGCAGCACCCAGGCCCGGGATGTGGTTAGGCCACAGGCAGCTGCTTCCCAAAACCAGAATAGCCTGGGGCTTACACAACCCGGACCTCAAAAAATCTGATTGCCCCCTCCCCACCAAGTCGTCTTGGCTTTCCAGCACCCTCCACACTCCAGCCCCAACTCTGAGCCCATCTCTGACCCATATCATCCCCTTAGCCCCTTCAGCCCACTCCTGGGCTCTATCTTGAGGCCCCACTTGTTGACCTTCCAACAAACCAACTTGTCCCAAACCCACTGACCTCCTGACTCCTCTCACCCCTAACTCACCCCTTGAACTCATGTCACCCTGGGGCTCCTCCCCATCCCAGACCTCCTTCCTTGGGCCTCTCCCCTTTCCCTCCCTGGCATACTCTGTTGCTCCCCACCCCTCCCTCCGCCTTCTATGTCCCAGCAGGGCTGGTAACAGGAGCAGACACAGGGGAGTGGGGGAGGGTATAGGCCTGGGGATAGGGAAGGGGGCCTCATGAGCCAAGTGTGGGTCTCGGTGGGGAGGCTACTTCTGGGGTCCTGCTCACACCCCCACTCAGTCCCCTGCTATCTTCCACTCAGGCCCACCCCACCCGAGCTCTGTTGCTGCTTCCCCTGAGTGAGACAGAAACTCTCCCAGTTTCACAATCTCCTGTGGAAGCCCCCCCTCCCCAGCCAGCTTGGGGACAGGGCACGAGGTCCGCTCTCCTCCCACAGCTTCTAGCTATGGCCTTAGCCCTAACTGCTGCCACCCTGTGTATCTGAATTACAGATTTCTTCACCAGCTACCGTCCCCCACAGACACCCACGCCTTCAAACTTCCTGGAACCCTCCAGCTTTGGCCCCATGGCTGACTCCCTTTTCAGCAGTGGGATCCTGGGCACGGAGGTGCCCCCTGCCTCCTCGGGCATGACCTACCTCTCAGGGCATAACCGCCTGCAGGTGAGCTCACCCCACCCCACCCAGCCTTACCCAGCTCACCTGTCCATGTCCAGGAGGTATTCCGGGCACTTTTTGTGTGTCCAGTCCTGTGCTTGGTCCACTGAGAGATACTGGAGGGGGAGAAAGACCCCATTTCTGCTCTCCTCTCTGGGAGGGTGGAATTCAGCTGCGGAGGAAAGACCCTCATGAAATAGAACTGACATGATGGCTGTAGGGGAGTTAGGCGGAGGGCAGGAGGAGCATGGAACAGTCTGGGTTGCTTGTGGAAGGCTTCCTGGAAGAGGGCGAGTTCTGGGCCTTAGTGAACTGGTTGGGTTTGGATGGAAGAAACGAATAGAGGGCAAGTCAGATGGGAGGAGAAGTTCGAACGCGTGCATGGAGGCAGAAAGCTGAGCGTGTGTGTTTGGGAAATAGTGAATCTGCCATTTTGGCTCAAGAAATCCCATACCCAAATCAGATGTTGTCACCTGCTGCTAGGTTAGATGCCTTTCCCTCCATCATCAGACTTTTCAGGCATTATTATAGTTCATTGTTGAGGGGTCTCTCTCCTGGACTAGACAGTGAGGTCCTTGCCGGAAGGGCTATTTTTGCTCACCACTGCATCTTCTATACCTAGCACAGTTCAAGCACATTAACAGTACTGGGTAAATGATTGAGCAAGTGAATGAATTAATAAACGAATGAATGAATGAATGAATGAATGAATGAATGAGTGGATGGATGGATGGGTGTGTTGATGAATGGATTGTAGATGGGGGTAGATGCTTATATGAGTTGATGTATATATAGGTCAGTGAGTGTTGGATGGATGGATGGGCTGATGGATGAATCCATAGATGAACCAATAGTTTAGTGGATCAATGAATGGGGTAATGGGTATAAAAGTGACTGGTGAATATACAGATGGTGGATGAATGAAGGAAGTATAGATGGTTGGGTGGATTGGTGAATGTGTTAGGACCTGATAGGCTGGTGGAAAGACAGATGGATTAGCTCATAGGTAAGAGAATAAATAGGTAGGTGGATGGATGGATGGATGGATGGATGGATGGATGGATGGATGGATGGATAGATAATTTGGTGAATGAATGGGTGGGCAGGAAGATTGTGCTCTTTTTTAGGCTGAATTTGTGCATAAATGTATTCCACTCCCTCCCCTCATTAGGTTATAATTTCCCTTGTGTGTGTGTTGAAGGGCAGGGATCATTTCTTTATCTTTTCCCGTGCCCAGTCCAGAGCTCAGCCAGGGCAGGAGGCTGCCTGGGTGTCTGCAAAGCTTTTTCCCCTGCTCTCTGTCTGTCCCCCCAACCAGGCTCGGAGCAGCTGCCCTGGTTCCGTGGACTCCAGTGCCTTCCTGAGCTCTGATTTCGATCTTCCTGAAGACGTTAAGCCCAAGCTCCCACCCCTACCCCTCTTTCAATTCCCTTCCCCTGCCAAGGGGCCTGTCCTGGAGCCCTGCCCCCCACCCCTCTTCTCTCCTATGTCTCCACCCCCTACTATGCTGCAGGAAGAGCCTCTCTTCCCTCCCAGATTCTCCTTCCCTACTGTCCCTCCTGCGCAGGGAGTGTCCCCATTGCCTGCTCCCACGATCTTCCCACTCAGCCCACAGCCTGGCCCAGGCCCTGACCCTTCCAACTTCCCCATAGACCTTCAACCCTCTGGGTATCCAGAGCCCCCATTTGGGCCTCACTTCACAGTACCCCAAGGCCTACAGTCCAGAGGCAAGCTCCCCACACCATCCCTTAGGGGGCAGAAACCCAGCTCCCCCACCTTGGTCCATTGCATTGCTGAGGGCAACAACCCCTGCCTCACACAGCTGCTCACAGCAGGTGAGATGTGAGGGGCAGGGTCAACAGAGGGTGAGATGGGGACAAATGTGGAAGTGGGGAGCCTGTGGGAATAGAGGGTGAAGGTAAGGGGCAGGCTCGGCTGGGGGCAGGGTGGTGAGGAATTAAGGACAAGGGACCTGAACCTGAAAGGGGTGTGGGCTATTAGGAGCGGAGGGAGGGGGTCTTGGGAGATGAAGGGGTTGGGGCCAGCCCCAGTGGCCCTCACAGTTCTGCTTGTGCACAGCCAAGCCTGAGCCTCCACTTGTGTCCTGCTGCCTCCTGCAGCCTACAGAGTCCCAGGTAAGATGATGGGCACTAGGAGTGGGGGGGGAGCCTCAAAGCTTCACTCCAACTCTTCACCCTTCTCCACCCCAGCAGGAGACGGTCCGTGAATTCCCCTGCACCTTCTTTCCCCCGACCCCAGCCCCAACATCACCCCAGCCACCTCCAGGCCTAGCCATACTGGCCCCTCCCAGGCCTCTGATTGTCCCCAAAGCAGAGCGGCTGTCGCCCCCAGCAATCAGTGGTAAAGAGGGTTTGCAGGGGCTGGGGGACTTTAGGGGATGGAGGGAGGGGAAGGAAGAAGGGAGAACTATGTCTGCGGTCAGGATGAGAGGGACAGAGCAATGGGACCCTCTCCCCTGTGTGGGTCTGTCTGTGGGTTTGTCTGTCCCTGCCACAGGTGGTGAGCGACGGCCGTCTGGGGAGCTCAACTCCATGCCAGGCTTGGGGATTCTGAGTGTCCAAGTCTCTTCCCCTCAACCCATCCTAAACCGGGGCCGCCTGGACAACAAGGTGGCACTATCCCCCTACCCCAAGATGTGTTTGCTACCCCCAAACTGTCCCATGCTCTTTCCTATGCTAACCCCACTTTCTGCCCCCCAAGACTGAGAACCGGCGCATCACACACATCTCAGCAGAGCAGAAGCGGCGCTTCAATATCAAGCTGGGGTTTGACACTCTGCATGGGCTGGTGAGCACACTCAGCGCCCAGCCTAGCCTCAAGGTGAGCCCACAATCCAGTCTGGCACCCCCAGAACCACAGGGCACTTCATAGACCCCCTACCCAAGACCAAATCCCAGAACCTTCCAGGCACCCAGTTGCCTCTTTCACCGCCCCTCCCCTCCTGCCCCAGGGCCTCAGTGGGTCCCAGGCTGGGGTGGCTCCAGCACCTAAGCCCACACTGGCGATTCCTGCAGGTCAGCAAAGCAACGACACTGCAGAAGACAGCCGAGTACATCATCATGCTGCAGCAGGAGCGGGTGGCCTTGCAGGAGGAGGCCCAGCAGCTGAGGGAGCAGATCGAGGAGCTGAACGCTGCCATTAAGTAAGTAGGTGGAGACCTGTGGGCCCTGGGGCAAGGGGGCCTGCCACCTGACTCCCAACCCCTGACCCACCTCATGCCCCCAGCCGGTGCCAGCAGCAGCTGCCAGCTACCGGGGTGCCCATCACACACCAGCGTTTCGACCAGATGCGAGACATGTTTGATGATTATGTCCGGACCCGCACACTGCACAACTGGAAGTTCTGGGTAGTATCCTCACTTGGCCAGCGGCGGGATGCGTGCTGCAGCCATACCAGGCTGTGTCTGGCTCGGCTCTGGGCAGGGTCTCAGAGCTGCTTCCAGGGGAGGGGCTCTAGTTCTGCCCTCTCCTTCCAAGCCTTGGCATCTTTGCCAGCAGGATTGCCCAGTGACGGGCTGGGCGCAGAGGGTAACTGGGTTGGGGGTCCACAGCCCTGCCCACAGAAAGTCTTAAGGGCAGTTTGGGAAAACCTGAAGTCTGAGTGGCGTGAGTGGGCTGGGCCCTAGGGAGGACATGGAATCACTTACCCCCTTCCCTGGTCAAGCCCTTGACTGAGCCAGGGCAGGAAGCCCAGGGATGGGGCATGGTCCAGCCCAGAAGGAGGGCCATGGAGGAGCTGGGGAGGTTGCTGAGAGCCAGTGAGCTGGGCAGGCCTTGGCAGGATCGGAGGGCAGCTGCAGTGGAGGTCCTTGGGTTTCAGGCCTCACACTGACCAGGCCTTTCCCCTGGTTGGGCCAGATGTCAGGGCTACATGTGAGGTGGGTGAGGATACTGGCTGGACAACAGGCCTGCTCCTTGACCTGAGCCTAGTTCAGCATCCTCATCCGGCCTCTCTTCGAGTCCTTCAACGGGATGGTGTCCACGGCAAGCTTGGAGAGCCTCCGCCAGACCTCGTTGGCCTGGCTGGACCAGTACTGCTCCCTTCCTGCTCTCCGGCCAAGTACGTGAGCCACCTCTCTGTCCAGTGGAATGTCCAGGCATCAGGGTAGAGGGTTCTACTCTGCTCAGATCCCAGGGTCAGCCTGCCTTCAAAATAGCCATCCCACTATGCCCTCTGGTTGGTCCCCCGGCCACCAGGACACCGGCAGACAGAGGTCCTAGGACAGAGGTCCTAGGGGCTGACAGTTTTGCCAACTCCCCCTGCCCTCTGTGTTCAGCATCCAAGGGCAGGGCCCTGACCACAGGAGGTATCTCTCTCTCTCTCTCTTTCCCCAGCTGTTCTGAACTCCCTCCGCCAGCTGAGCACATCTACCAGTATACTGACAGACCCAGGCTGTATACCGGAGCAAGCCACACGGGCAGTCACAGAGGGCACCCCTGGCAAACCATCATAGTGCTGACCAGACCCTGCTACTCACTCAGCGGCCCTGGGGCTGCCTTCTCTGGGCATGGGCTCCAGGGACAACTCCTGGGCACTCCCCTCCTGCCCCAGGCCCTGGCTGTCCCCTGTCCTGCGCGTTAAGCAAGACCCAAGCCTCTTCCCATCTCTTGGAAGCCAGGAAGAGCTGAGTTCCAGGCCCTGCTCTACCAGTGACTAACACTGTGACTTCGGGGACTCAGGATTCCCTCTTTGGACCTCCATTTTCTAGCCTGCAAAATGGGGATAGGGAAGCTTCAAGCAGAAGATGATCCCAAGGCCTTAGCAGCTTTGACACTTGGCGGTCTAAACTAGCAACTCAGAGAGCTTGAAGACGGGAAAGGGACAATCCTAGTTCCCTGTCACTCTCACCTGCTCCCCCGACAGGTGGGACACAGGCCTCTGTTTCTGAGCAGGGAAGCAGAAAAGGAGGTTCCCTCTCTCTGCTCCTTACTGGTAACCTGGGGGCGTTTATAGGATAGTGTCTGGGGGGTGAATGAGACCAGGAAGTTCTGATCCCAGGAGCGAGCAGGGCAGGGTGTAGCCAAACCAGGGTAGACATCTTGTGTGTGGATGTGTGGATGTGGATTTTTTAAACAATTCTTGACCAATAAAAACAAAAAACTGTCTAATATTGTATGTCAACTATAACTTAGTGTATATATATATAGTCACGGGATGTGGAGTATAGTGTGGGAAGTGGAGTCAATGGAATTGTAATAGCTATGTATGATATTGGTTGGGGGGCGGTGGATTGGGAGAGGGGGGATTGTCACATTGTGAGGGGTAAAAAGTATAACTATTGCACTGTTTTGTACACCTGAAACTAATAATAAAAAAAACTGTCGGGGACTGTCAGTGTATCTTATTCTGGGATGGAGAGAGTCGGTTGGCAATGGAAGGTGATCTTGAAAGGACCTTAGCTTTTCCTCTGAGCTGAAAAGCCACTGGAGGGTTTTGACTACAGGTGGGACAAGATTGGATGTAACTTCTGAACAGGATCCCTCTGGGTGCTGAGTTGAGAATAGGCCGCAGTGGGGCAAGGGTAGAAGCAGGGAGGCCAGTTTTAGGCTGTTGCTATCACCAGGCAAGAGATGACAAGACACTGGTCCTGGAAATCCTCCCTCCATGGCCAGGAGGGGATTCAGAGAGGTTCACCACCTTCCCAGTTAGAAGATGGCAGAGCTAGGACCCAGGAGTGGAAGTGACAGGGCCATCCATCAGAACGATCAAGAAGGAGAATGTGCTACCTCAGGGCTAGTGATGTCCCCCTGTGCAAGATGTGCAAGCAGACTGGATAGCCACTTGGTTGGGATGTCTTAGAAGGAACTAATACTTCAGATGGGAGTTGGGGTAAAAGGCCCCAATACTTCATTCACCCTTTCATTGATCCATTTAACAAATGCTCCCTGAAGGGCTACTGTGGACCAGGGGATGGCCTTTGCTCTGGGGATTCTGTTCGCTGCTATACCGCTCTCCTCATGGAGCTGACCACTCAGGCCTGGCGAGTCGGAATCCTCTCATATCTTCTCAAAACTCCTGGAGGCGTTTGCAGGATATAAGACAGCCTTCGTGGGCTTTGCCCTTCCCTCATTCATGTAGAATAATAACGATAACTGCACACCTATCCAGTGCTTACTACATGCCAAGCACTATTCTAAGTACTTGATATATATTAACCCCTACACACCTATCTCTACAGGCCTTTAAGGATTTCAGAGTAAATATATACAAAGCATTTACAGCAGTGCCTGGTGAAGAACACTATGTAAGAGTTATCATAACTATTATTATCATCCCCATTTCACGGATGAAAAATTGAGGCACAGAGAGATTAATTAGCCACAGAGAGATTAATTAATTGCATGGTTACTGGGATGCTCACCCACATTGTCTGACTGTAGTCTCTGCTTTTTGCCACTTCTCTTTACTGTGCAGTGACAAGTGCACCCACCATTTAAGTGCTATTTGCTGCTGCAGACAAAGGTTGGAAGTGGCTCTTTGAAAGCTAAAATCCTGGGGGTGACCAGTTAGCTCAGTTGATTAGAGCATGGTGCTGGTAACACCAAGGTTGCCGGTTCGATCCCCACTGAGCCACTCTGGGCTGCGCCCTCCCTAAAAGAGTCAACAATGCCATTGTAGCATGAAAGCAATGTGTAACCAATGACCATGACTGTTAGAAAGGTAAAATTCTGGTAGTTTGTGCTGTTTTCACCTACTCACACCCTGCCCTATCTCCCCTCTCCCCTCTCCCTTTCCCCCAGCCACCTGCCTCTGGGCTCCTCCTCCCACCTTCCACCCCAGCCTCACCCCTGCATTGACTGCTTTCACTGAGGTCCCTTGACTCCCTCTTGCCAAATTCAGGGGCTACTTTGCATGTTCTTTTTGTCTTCCCCGGGGCCCTAATATCCAGGATTCTCGCCAAGCTCTCCTTCCTCCTACCTGACAGTGCCTTCCCAGTTCCTGCTGTGGGAACCTCTTCCTCTGCCTGTCCCTTTCCCTGGCTCACCTCCCTCTCACTCTATGGCAAGCCCCGGGCAATGTCAGTCATTCCCTTTGGCTTCTCTCCTGAGGACCCTCTATTGTGTATCTGTCCTGCTGTCCCCCCAGAGCTACATAACCACATAGCCGACTGCCACCCTGCCCCCTCCCTCTCAATGTTTCACAGCTTCCTTAGCCTTGAAGGAGTCAAAACAGAACTCATTTCCCAGACTGTACCCTACGGTCTTCCCGCTCAAACCTCATCCTCTCTATGCTCCCCATACCCAAGAAGGCTGCACTATTCACACACTTGGGCAAGCTGCAGTCATCTTTGGCTCCTCCCCATATCCCACTACCTTATGGTATCTGTTACTGAGTACTGGCCAGTTAACCTTGGAAGCATCCATCTCTATGGCCACCACCCTGGACAACAGAATATCACCTTTTACAAGTACTTTCGCATGAGCCTGCTGTGTCCCTTACAGCTTATCTTCAAACTTAAGTGTACATTTGAATAACTTGGCGTGGCGGTGGCTTTTAAAAATCTTCATGACCAGGTCCAGTGTGAACCAATTAAATCAGAATCTCTGGCTGTTGGATTTTAGATATCAGCATTTTTTAAGGTGATTTCAATAATGCAGCCAAGGTTAAGAACCACTATAACAGAGGCATTGAGCTGCAAATTATAAATGTCTGGGGTTCAAATTAGTTTAAATCAGTGGTTCTTAAACTTCAGTGTGCATCAGATATCACTTAGCAGGCTTGCTAACATAGATTGCCAGGCCCCCCCCCCCCCTCCAGAGTTTCTGAGTCAGCAAGTCTGGGACAGAGTCTAAGAATTTGCATTTCTACTGATGCTGGGTCCAGGGCCCAAACTTTGAGAACCACTGCTTAAACAATGAGGAAATATATCGTTTTACCAAACACAGGCCTGAGGTAGGGAGGATTCCAATCAATGCAACGTAGATCTTCAATTGCAAATTGAAGTTGTGCTTCCATTGCTGCTTTGGCTCCTGCTTCCCTCTCATGAAGCTGGGTTTCTGTACAGATGTTCAAGGTGCTTTGTAATTGGGCCTTGCTATTTCTGCAGGCTCCTCTCTCCACAGCCTCCCTCCCTTCACATTCCAAGGAATCTTGAATTGCCAGTGCTTCCTGGGATGCATCATTCTGCATTGCCTTTGCAAGGCCTAATCAGCCCATGAGGGAGGCAGGCCTAGTCTTTTCTGTCTCCCTGCACATGCCTCTTCCCACTGCATAATTTTCTCTGACCCCATCTGCAACACTCACCCAGAGAGGCTGGCATAGTCACTCCCTTCTGCACAGGAATCAGTTACTTCTTCCTCCATATGTTTGTTCATGCCTTGCTCCCCACCTAGAATTCCCTCCTAGCCTCTGCTTCATCTGTCTAAATGTCCACCCCTGAAGGTACAGCCAAGTCTTGCTGCCCCTCAGAATCCATCGACAGATCTTCCTCCCTGATCTGTCCAGCTTTGCCAAATCCTGCTCTGTGTCATTAGTTGTCCTTCTCTGGGCCTTGGCTACCAACTGGGCTTACAACACTTGAGGGTAAGAGTAAGACATTCCTTACCACAGCCCAGTAGTGCAGTGGGAGGAGTATGGATTAGGAGTGTAGCAGACCCAAGTTTGACTCTGGGCTCTATCCCTGGCTTCCTTGTTGACCTTGGGTAAGTTATTTGACTTCAGCCTAGTTTTTTTTCATCTCTTTAAAGTTATTTCATGGGGTTACCGGTTAGCTCAGTTGGTTAGAGCGTGGTGCTGATAACACCAAGGTTGCTGGTTCGATCCCCGCATGGGCCACTGTGAGCTGTGCCCTCTCTGAGGGAGTCAAATATGCCATTGTAGCATGAAAGCAATGTGTAACCAATGACCATGGCTGTTCCCCAATAAAATAAAAATAATAATAATAATGTTATTTCATAGCATCACCTGTCTTAAAGGTCACAATAAAGATCAACTGAACTCATGATGTGAAAGAATCTTGTGCCCTTGGGCTGGCTGAGTGGAGCATTGGTTAAGAGTTGGCTTGGGACGCCAGCTCTGAGCAGCAGGGCCCCAGTTCAGCTCCCACATGAGGGCCAGTGACACTGCGCCCTCTACAGCTAAGAAGGTGAACAACAGCTTGACCTGGAGCTGGGATGCCACGAGTCACCAGCGACAGCGTAGGCTGCAGTGGGGCCTGCCAGCAGTTGGCGTGTGCTTTCATGAGCTGCCGCGAGCTGCCATGAGCAGGCCCGTGAGCAACTGCCTCACCCAGGAAGAGCGCAATGATAATACCAACATGGGCCAGTGAAGCGACATCCTCCACAAATAGACTGAAGAACAAAAGGACAGCAACTTGTCTGTTCCCCTCCCCAATTCCCCAATAAAATGTTTTAAAAAAAAGAATCTTAGGGCCGGCCGAGTGGCTCAGTTGGTTAAGAGCTCGCTCAAGAGTTTGAGCTCTGAGCAACAGCGGTTCGAGTCCAGCCCGAGCTGAGCAGCCGCTGAACTGCCAACGGGTAGCAGGATGGCTCAGCTTAAAAAAAAAAAAAAAAGAATCTTGTACTCGTGACTGAGCTATACACAGCTGAGCCCTATTCTTGCTTCTCCCTGTCCTCCACATCAATAGATGGAGTCACAGACCTGCATGTGTCCCCAGGTTCACTCTTCACATATGTGACCTCTGGAAAGTCACTTAACAAGCACCTCCTAGAACATCAATCTCAATCTGTGGGATGGGAATGTGAGAAGATTAAATAAAATGCAAGGCTCCTGGATCAATAAATATCACATGCAAAATGTTTGGTGAATGAAATTCTTCTTAAAAGTACAGCTTTGTCTCTAGATGGTAGAGAAAGTGGTTCATGGATGGGCCTACAGTTCTAAATAGCAAATTAATGAGGAAAAGCCCCAAGATGCTCTGGACACCCCCCTCCCAACCCTCCCCACCCCACTACCCACAGCTCAGTCAATACCAGTACCCCCCCACACACACACACACACCAGACACACACACACACACCACACACACACACACACACACCACAAACACACACACACACACACACACACACACACACACGACAAAAGGGAAGGAAATGTGGCCTCTGGGTTTGCTCTCTGACTGGATCTGCTTCCTCACCCAAGGCTGCTGCGCGT